CTTTGTTTTGGCTGTAAGTGAACTACGTACAGCTGATGAAAGTATTTCGCCCAGTTGTTTGACAAATTGTACACTACGGTCATTCTATAACAATCGATCAGTCGTTTTTTTCACAGTCTTACTATTCCTGCAGATATTCTTCAATTGTTATAGGTGCCACGGATTTTAACATAACTACAACTTGACCCGTGTTAAACCCAAACCATGCGTGCATGACAACCATCACCCTACACACGGTTACTCAACGAATACCGTACTCTACAGTAGACATTTTTCGCTCTCCACCAAAAATAGAATGGTTTTATTTCATATTAGTTGTGTCTGTGTCAGTGTCGTATTTGATTTCACATGTTTGGTTCGATCCTGCTTATGGTGGACATTATTACTACGCGTATGTATTATTACCAATTTTATATGGCCGTGTGATCCACCGTATTTTTTCAACAGTCGTTCTATAAATTTCTGATTATATTTATTCTTATTTTAACATCATAAAAAAAAATGATACACTTGTACATAAAACAGTAGGTAATGAACTGTAAATGCAGGTGGTTGCGCTGTCAGGCGAGCGAGCGAGCGATTGCGCGACCGGATACTTCCGGATTTGCGTGGTCGAAAAAAAAGCGGAAATTGCGCGGTCGAATTGAACAAAGCGAGCGAAAAAAAAGCGATCGAAATCCGGAAGCGGGCGGGAGGTTGGGCGAAATGAGTACTGTATGTACCAAGTTTGAACGTAATCCATCCATAAATGCCAGAAATGCTTGATATATGATGATTTTTTAGCACAAAAATGGCCACCATTTGGCCATTTTGAATAGGATCGTCAAACCAATATATCTGTCTATGACATGATGTACATGTATAATGAATATTTAAAATTTGAACATAATCAGTGAAAGCAAGTCAGAGATATGGCACGAGAACCACATTCATTAAAACAAAATGGCTGCCAGTCGGCCATTTTGAATCGAATCACTAAACCACTGCATGTGCATATGTCCCACATAAGGTACTGGGCACATGCAAAGATTGAACGGAATCGGTCCACAGGATTCTGAAATGTGACGTTGGATAGACTGCCGCACG